GGCTGGTGGGGGGGGGGGAGAAAAGGCCAGAAGGGGAGGAAAGAGGTGTGCGAAGGCGGAGGGACGAGGGCTGCGGAGGAGGGGTCTTGTGACCCACTTGCGGTGGGCGGAGGGCAGCAGAGCGGAACCACCCGCAGAGGCGGCGACTGCGAGGCACATCGGTGCAAAAGAAAAGTGTTTAAGAAGCGTGATAGCAAAGGGACAGGCGGTAGCAGACTGGGTAGTAAAAGAGGACTACACAGCACAAGATAGAAAGATAGAATATCAGCCATAGAACAAGGCGAGAATGTCGTTTATTACTAGGGCTGTACCCCACAGAAACGTGAACTTCAGGACCCGCACGAATATGTAGCTTCTTGAGAGGTTTATGTTCATCATTCTATGCAACGCAAATAGCAAGCTCTTAATAAAATAAGAAACAAACACTTCTCCTTTAATAAGTTACCTAACACTCTTACGTAGCATAGAAATAAGCCACGTAGAAGTAGTTCCAACGCCTTTCAGTTATCACTCAGTCATTTGACATTTATTCGTATTTGAAGATGCATACCTGCTCTTTATTATACAGAAATTTGTTCTGTACAACTGCAAAGTGGCTCAATAATTACACTTAATTCGCATAAATATACCCGCCTTTATACCAAGCACAAATAGAAAAATGGCTTAAACTATCGTACACGGTGGTTATACAATACCAGATCAACAATTTTTTTCTCTAACAGTCGGAAGTAATAACGTGCGCATGCACATATTCTACGCACATACGCAAGGAAGCGTGCTAGGTTCGCACCAGAACATATCACGCCAGCTTTCATACCGATCCAGCCACGACACGAACAAAATTTGTCAGTCGGCCGGCATGGGTGGGGTGGGAGCGGTCGCAGGAAGAGCGTCAAGCGACGCCCAAAGAGACTCAAGCGAGCGCCGCCAGAACCTCAGCACGGCGCCACAACAGGTGGCAGCGGCGGCGGCGGCGGCGGCAGCGAGACGCGTCGCGCATAAATCGCCATTATAACGTCATTAGGGCAGCGGGACGTAAGACTCGAACGCAAGCGCGCGGCGCTCGCATCCCCGCACACGCCGCCGCCGCCGCCGCCGCTGCTGCTTCTACACCCCCCGCCACGCCCCGTCCTGCCCCGTGTCACATAAATCCGTGGGCGCTAAATCATCGTAAACAACTCACTCGGGAGCGCCCGCCGCCGCCGCGTACGCACCGAGCCACCCAGCGAAAGCGGCGGCGAGCGCGAGGCGCGCAGTGGCACGCGGGGCCGCCGCGACAGCGGAAACGTTGCAGGCGTATTGGAGCGTCGCCGAGCGCTAGCGGATGGAAACGTGGGAGATTCCGACCGGGGACAGTCCTACGTCTTGAGGGGGCAGTTGGGAAGCGGACCAGGGGATGAGAAGACCAGCCGAGTCGATGCAAGCGGATAAAGAGGATGTGGATACATCGACCATCACCCGTGGCGTACAGCGTAATAACCACTGCGCTGCAAATTCATCTCCGGATTGCAGGGTTCTAAATCTGATCCGTACATGTGGATTTAGTAAATGATAAAATGAATTCATGGATTTTTCTTGAAGTACTGACGTTCCCCTTCAAGGGATTAGCTTGAACATATTACTCAAGGCGTGACACGTTATTACTAACCCGTTCTAGGGAGACGCGGCTAACGACCGCAATGTTTAAACAGACGGTTGAACTTTGTGCAAGGCGTCACACATTAACACACGAGAAATAAAAATGGATACATCGCTTCAGGAGTAAGTAACGAAATGTAAGTTCAAATAATTAATTGCAAGACAACACAAAACGAGCAGCAATTTTAAGAAATCGACAGTCAAGCGCGTGTGCACATAAAATAGACCAATAGAGAAGTCAAATTTGCAGTTTTAATTCCAGCTTTATGAATGAGCGAGGACACAGTAAGTACAGAAAGTTTTCAAACTATAAAAATAGGTAAGAGTATCAATATGAATCTCAGTTAAGAGTTTTAGAATATGTCAGAACGCTAGATTCTCCAGTGCTTAAATGGATAAACTACGAGTAGAGGAATATCATCTATGAAACGAATTGAATGGAGGGCGGAAGGGACGAAGGATGAGAAATTTGGCCCAAGAACAAGGTAAGGATGGACGTAAAAATACTCGCAAGTAAAGCGCAGGGAGTGGCAGGAACGAGCCCCACAACAGCCAGAGCGCGCGCACAGCGAGCGACAAGCGCGCGGACGGGCCTCATGGAAACAGCAGGGAGAGCGCGCGCCGGCGGCTGTGGGCGGGCGCCCACAAATTGCCGGCGGCTGGCGCACTGCGCGGCGCGGGCG